GGCATGGTTCGCCGCCGGCGATCGCCAACCTCTTCATCTTTGGTCAACTCGGCTCGGTCCCCATCCTCAAAAACCCCAAACACAAACTCCAAACACGCGCGCACACAGTGCGATACATGTACGGCATAAATGTCACACATATCAAAGTCTACAACCTGGCTACACGCAGCTACCAGATTGTACGTGACAGCAACTTCACACCCTACACCAAGCGCAACGACCCGGCGCTCACTACAAGCGCTGCCTTCACCGCCAAGCAACGCCGCCCATCCATCCCACTCACGATCACACCCGCGACACCTCCACCACGCACACGACAACAAGCGCGAAAATACCCTGACGCAACCGAGTGGGGCAAAGCACACACCGCAGAATTAGACCAGCTTGATCTCACGCACGCAATCAACTGGGATCCATACAAACACCTACCGCCACGAAACGAAATCATCCCTATGACCCTGACATACAGATACAAACCAACCACCAACGACCCAACAGCAGTAACTAGGAAAGCACGATGCTCAGTGCGCGGCGACCTCATGATTCCGGACATCCATTACGGCCCACTCAAAGTTGCCACATACATGGCAGAAAGTCAACCGCGCATCATTTTCGCATTAGCCGCAGCGCACGACATGCACCTTGAACACTTCGACATCACGGGTGCATATTTGCACGAAGCGTATGACCACACAACGCCGGTATATGTCTGGCAACCCAAACGGTTTGACAGTTCTTACAAGCACGAAGCTGCCGCAGGGCAGCTCAAAGGCAACATATACGGCACTCCACCAGCCGCCCATACGTACTCAACCAAACTGTACCAACACCTCAAACAGCACGGATACACCCAAACCAAATCCGATCCTTCCCTATTCTTCAAGCGCATGCGCAACGACATCATTCTCATCGCAGTAAGTATGGACGACTTTTTGGCAGCTGCCAGCACCACAAAGCTGAACGACGAATTCTACAACACACTCCAAGTCAAATACAAAGTCAAAAGGCTTGGCAAGCCAACATCGTACCTCAATTAGAATATCTCGTACACGCCAGCAGGCATTCACGTCTGCCAGCGACAGCACATCCAGCACGTAGCGCAATACCTACACATGGAAGACTCTATACCACATCAAACGCCATACGCAGACGGTGCCAGAATAGACCCACCGACACCGAAAGAAACTGCAGATGACAAAATCACCGCACCATATCGTGCAGCACTTGGTGAAATCCGCTACATTGCGGACTGCAGCAGACCAGACATCAGTTACCCCACAGCAGCGCTAGCACGAGCAACAAAATGTCCCACTCAACGCCACTGGAACTTCCTCAAAAGGACCGTCAGATACCTCATCGTCACAAAGAATCACAGTTTATTGTTCCCCCACCACAACACGGCACCCCTCCTCATAACATACGCTGACGCTGACTTTGCCAATGACCCCGTCTCAAGGAAATCCATCTCCGGTTCAGTATACCAAGTGTACGGCGCCACAGTGCACTGGCGTTCCAAGCAACAACCACTGGTAGCCCAGTCCACGTGCGAGGCCGAGTATATAGCAGCCGCCGAAACTGCGCAAGACACTGTCTGGCTCCGTAATATGTTCACAGATCTGGGATACACACAAGAACAGCCCACCACCATGTGCATAGACAATGCTGCAGCAATCACCATCGCGCGCAACACCGCACGGACAAAACGGCGCAAATGTATCGACATTCGCTACCACCTCCTGCAAGACCTCACACAACACCAAGCGTTGTCCCTCAAACACGTGCCAAGTCGGCGCATGTACGCCGACATCATGACCAAACCACTGAAACCCGCACTGTTCGAAGGACACCGATCCAACCTTGGGATATACCCAAGCAGCAAACAAGTCTACTTCCAACCAGACCCCACGCTCATTGACCCGCAAACCGCGCGTCAGGGGGACTGTGATGACCCACAAAATGAAGATCGTCGACGCGCGATTCACGGGCCAATCGCCCCATCCGCCCCAATGATACAGTAGCAGGTGATGACCCACAAGCCAGGCCACAGGCCAGGCCACACCAATTGCCGTAGGTAGCACCATCAGAACAGAATAAAAGCTCGCCGTCGCTCGGCCCGCTGGCGCGGGACGGGGGGGAGGCACGAGGCTCACTTCGTCACATCGCTATTGATAGCAAATATGCACCTGAGCAAGATTTATGAAACAAAATGTTTGCCCAGTAATTGTGAATCTGTCCGATTATTTCGGGCCTCCCCTTTAGCCCCCCCTTTCACCTACAGTAGCCCCCCCTCCTCTTGCCATCTGCTGCATCATGCCCGACATCCAGCAATGTAACCAGCAACGCACCTTCAAATTTCAAACATCATTGCAGGACGCCTCGCCAAACGCTCCGCTCCGCTCCTATCTGCGCCCCAATTGTACGACAAACCGCCTCCTGGTCAGTTATGCACAACGCCACCGTTGTGTTGCATCTCTTTTTCGCGTCTATCTCCCGCCCGCGACTGCCGCCTCAACCTCCATCCCGCAATGCCCGCCGCCGACAAGCTCCTGCTGCGCGGCCTGCGTCTGTACGGCCGCCACGGCGTGCACGCCGCGGAGAACGCCCTGGGCCAGCAGTTTGTCGTCGACGTCGACGTCACGGCCGACCTGTCGCGCGCCTGCGCCACGGACGACTTCAACCACGCCCTCGACTACGTCCGCGTCTTCGAAGCTGCCAGGGCCGCCGTCCAGGACCAGACCAGGCACCTCGTCGAGCGCGTCGCCGCTGACATCGCAGACCAGGTCCTCCACGAAATCCATCAGGCTACCCAGGTGAGGGTCCGCATCATTAAGCCACACGTCGCCTTGCCCGCCGTGCTCGACGGCATCGGCGTCGAGATCGTCAGACGGAGATCCCATCGCCTTCCGCAGGAATAGGCCTCGAGTTCTCGTGTCGAGTTGTGTGTCGCCCCCTTTTCATCAGTTTGTCACCACCGTGTGACACTTGCATTTCGATCAACCATCCTTCGCATCCTTGAAACAGGTGTTTTGACTTGTCTCCCCCCAACTCTTCAATCGTCGCAATCGCTAAAGGTGGAGCGGCCGACTGTCATCACCAACACTTTGCATCGCAAACCCAAGTGTACGCCAGGCTGCCTTTGCGAACACCACAATCCTCGTAGCAGACAAATTCCGTTCTAGCTATCGCTAAATCGCAAAATACCCGAGATATTCGCGATCGGTGTGTTACTAAACAAGTGATTTCATGGAAGCAGCAACTGAATGGTGAGCAGAGGCTTTTAAACATGCCCTGTACACCAAATAACGTCCTCAAGTGTTATGGGTGACCCAGGATATCGCTCGATCGCAGCCGGACACAACCCTACGCGGCAGCATCTCTTTCTGGGAAACGCAAAGTCAGCGTGCGACTAGCACTTGTTGCTGATGCCACATCTCATTCAAACATTCAGGCTGATCCGTATAGCGTCGCGAAAGGAATTTTGGAATAGATCGGACAATCCGAATAACGTCGCTTACGCGGGGGCCGTCCAGCCTCAAATTTCCAAGAATGAACAAACCCATTTTCCGATTGAGCAGTGATTTACTCCAAAGGCCCCGCGATATCCCGCCGTGGCCATACTGCGCCAGGTCAGATCGGACTTGTTTGAATGCGAACAGTCCACCGCATTGGTGACTTGCCAGAAATGCCCAATTCGCGTTGGGGTTGTGTTTTGCTATGATGCAGCGAATGTTGATAGTTTGATGCACTATTACCACTCTAGGCGCCAACGCAACCAGACAGTGAACGCGGATTACCCCAGTAGTTTTCGCAGTGTGCCAAGGCGACCCATGAGTGCATGATGCTCACTTCGGCTTGTACGATGTAGAGCTATAGTGTGCTAGGCAAGTCATAAAGCACAGGTACACCGTACACAGGGTTGAGAATGCGATAGGTCGGATGGCCAGACAGCGCAAGGAGAAATTTGTAACCCTTTATTGAAAGCACAATATGCCACCGACATCAGCGTAAGATCTCTCTACCTTTGGCGATACCGTTGGCTCAAGAGTGATAAAAGAACAGGATGACTGCACCAAAGACAAGATTTCCATACAACGGTTACGGTTCGCGGCGTCGACCACATCAGGGCTCCAGTCTCGACGGGACTCGCGGCCGCAAGATGTGGCGGCGTACAAGAGAGCCGTAAACCACGGTCCACAGACGCGATCAGAAAACCAGAGCAGACTGTACAGAGGCGCCGATGCAAACTGGCACGTGAATCATGCGGGGCACCCAAAAGTGAGAAAGCCAAGCAGGCACTGCTCAAGTTCTCGGTTTCTCCTTCTTATTCCGGAACAGGGCGAGCAACGAAACACCGGCGACTTTCACAACCTTGAAGCGTACACCGGGAAGATCACCGACGGAATGTCCGCTCCGTCCGAAGCCGGAGATAAGGACCTCATCATTCTCCTCGACGAAGTTGAGGCAGCCGTCTCCCGGAACGAAGGCGGCGATCTTCTTTCCGTTCTTGATGAGCTGGACTCTGCACGACTTGCGGATGGCCGAGTTGGGCTGCTTGGCCTCGATGCCGATGCGCTCCAGCACGATGCCCTTGGCGTGGGAGGCGCCCCCGAACGGGTTCGCCTTGAGAGCGGTCGCAGAGTGCTTGCGTGAGTACCGCTTGTTGTGCCACTTCTGGGCGCGACGGTGCGTGCGCAGCTTGCGCGCGCACTGCATGCCCGCGGGCTTACCGTTACCCATGGTGGAGTGTTTGGCGGGGACGGGGTTGGCTCAGAGGATCGGATGGGGGAATGGAAAGGCGGGGTAAGGAGGGACGTGCCTTTCAGAGGGGCTTTGGGAGGGAGCGAGTGAGAATGTTGGCTGCGGGACGCTGCGCGTGAAAGAGGGCGCCGTCGGTTTCGTGCGCTGGGCGCGCTGCAGAGGCGCTGCTTGCGATGGCAAGCGGCGGCCGGGCGACGGCAGCCAATGAGGGAGCGGGAAAGTTTAGGCAAAAACGGGAGGGTAAGGGGAATTTAGTGAGCCGTGTGTCGGTTTGATTGGTTGTGTCCCTGAAAAAAACGTCATTTTCGCAAAAATAGTCGTAGTTTTATGAAATTCTGCCAAAACTGTTCACGTGCGAGCGGCTCCAGCGGATCAAGAAGTGACGATCTCGTCTAGATCTCGAGTTTTATTGCGCCTCTACACGTGTGAGACCTGTACGCATTCATGAAGGAGGGGAGCAAGAAGTGCAATTTTTGCATGCATTCGCCTCCGCGGCTTCCGTATCCTATTCCTGAAGCATCGCGCTTTGGTGAGAGCGGTGGTACTGCATCAGCACCGCGTTGCTATCCTATTGATGCTGGCTGATGTTTAGTTGTTGATGTCTGGCTCGCGAAGAAACTCATAAGTCATGATCAGCTTATGCGCCTGCAGAGCCTTCGACGGGTGTCCTCATGAAATGGCAGCGGTTTAGCGTGCATTCTATCTACACAGGAGTGAAGCGTAAGGATGATGAGATACAAGTGCCCTGCACAAGCGCACTTGCTCGATGGCATCGGCGCACCCGTGAGACATGCTTTCGCTCCACCGAGCACAGAAGCGCTGTTGTTACGCGGGAATGCCCCACAAACGCGTGGCGTGTATCTAGGTGGTGCGCCGCGCAGAATCTGGGGATCTATGGCAATTTGCCGAGGCGGCGGCGGCGGAACCGGCCTCGGCTCAGATTTTTCGAGTGGCGTCCAAGGCTGGCCGGTGGAGGCGCCGGTGGATGTGTGCGAGATCATACCAGCGCATTACAGCATACCCTCCGTGGCTGTGCACCAACCGTCGGCAGATCAGGCGGTTCACCAGGCGGGAGGCAGGTGCTTGTGACCCATTGATTTTGGCCGGAAAGCTCAAAACGCCTCCACTTGGCACTTCACGCGTCCTCGATCACCTCCTCCCCTTCATTCTATCCGCGCCCAGTTCCCCCCCCCCCCTCCGCATGTCCTCTTTGTCGTACCCCGACTCATCCAATCTCCCTACCCTTCACACGGCACCGAATCTCACCGTCCTCCGTCCATTCATACCTGCGAATTAGAACCTGCGAGCTTCCCCCGCTATTTCGTCCCCCCCCTCATCTTCACGCCACAACCTCCTCACGAGAACACAAACCCTCACACCTCCGAACATGGTTGCCTTCGCGAACGCGCTAGGTTCATCCGCCCTCTTCACGCCGGCCTCTCTAACGGCGTCTTCCTCCTTTTGCGGGTGCACGGTATCGCACCGCCGCGCCCCGACTGCGCGCCTATCGCGCCGCTCATTTCTCCCGGGTCGCATCGTGTGCGAGGAGGGTTTCAACTACAACATCTACCAGGATGGGAAGGACCGCGCCAAGCGCATGGTGGACTCGTCCGACCGGTCGGTGACGGTGCAGAAGCCGCTGGGGCTGGTGCTGGAGGAGGGGCAGGACGGCATGGTCTTCGTGGCGGAGATGGACCCGGAGGGCAACGCGGCCGACTCTGGCGAGATCAACGAAGGCGACATCCTCGTCGCCGTGTCGGCCACCTTCGGCGAGGAAGTCTGGTCCACGCGCGGCGTGGGTTTGGACCGCGTCATGAAGTCGATCCGTATCCGCGCCGGCGACTTTGTCACCCTCGTGGTGGAGAGCCCGGAGACGCTGTCAGAGCGCAAGTCCATGGCTGCGGTCCAGGCCGAGAACCGCCGCACGGAGGCGAGGGATAAGTTTGGCGAAAGGGAGGTGCTGGACCCCGTCACGTGGAGGTCCAACGCGCCAAAAGAAACACAGGCGACCTACGAATATGGAGACCCAGCGCAGGCCCAGATTGACGAGCAGCTCAAGGAGAAGCTCAAAGCTGAGATCTCCGCCCCGTATGAGCAGAACTGGATTCTATGGGTGGGCGCGGGCGTGCTTGTGTTAGTTGTACTCAGCGTAGCGTTTGGGATTACGGGATAAAAAAGTGGAACAAAGGGGAAAGGGATTCTCCTCATGTATTATTCTAAACAGAACCGCATGCCTTGACTTTTTTTCTGACAAGTTGATTTTCTGTGGCTTGCCGGTGGTTTGACAGCTTCAAGGTTTGCAGTTTCCAACGAGCTGGCCTTTTTACTGTACTGCGAACCACCTTCGTAACGGGGAGAGTCGCACGTCAAAAAAAAAAAAAAAAACTCACTCATTAAACACACATGTAAAGGGACTTAGAAATTTACAAAAGGGCGTCTATTGAAGATACGTCATCACGTGACGCCAGACAAGCAGCCTCGCATGGCGCACTGCAAACTGCCGCTAGTTAAAAAACTAGGCGATCTATGCAGAACGCATGATGCCTTTGCATCCGTGTGTGGTCACGGTTAACGCTGCCCGCTACGCCGGGTATCCAATGGTCATTTTCAAAGTAAGCTTTGCACACTTCGCCATCACGCCCGTCTCCGTGGCTCTAGGATGGCGAGAACCTGTTAAGGCCGCGTGCTGGGACTTTCCCTATGCACGTGGGGTCAAAAAAAATCAGCGGATAAGCTGACCGGATAGGCCGGCTGACAACTTTGTTGTGCGTTGAAAGCGCGACGTCTATTGATTAGAGTCTCTGGTGTCGGTCTTGTCGACAGGCGTATATCCGCTGGTACTCTTTCCTAAATCCAAGGTACCCATGGTTGCCCATTTGTCCTTGATCAAACCATACCAGCAGCAGCCAGAAATGGCAATGAGACAGCCGAGCATGTTGATAATGGTGACAGGGTTCTTAAATATGAGAATGCTGACGCCGATAACAAGGACAGTCTTGACGTTCCCCGCGACGGTGACTGTAACAGAGGAGGTGGCCTTAAGAACGATGAACAAGGTAACGTTGAGGATGAAAGACACAATGCCACTGAAGAGCAAGAGCAAGTAATCATTCGACGTTCTCGCGGGATCCTCGACCCAATCCATGACGCTGCGGCGCTCGAGCAGCAAGCAGATCGGGGTGAGCAAAGCGACGGACGGCGGGGCCATATAGTACAAAAGGTTGATGCTGTCGAGCTTGTACCGTCCGGCGAGCATCTGGGAGCTGAGTACAAACTTGAGGCCAGTCAAAAAGCAGGCGGTGAGGGCGGCGATGAAGCCGCCCATGTGGAACTCGAGCTCCGTGCACGAGGCGAGGGCGACGCCTCCCGTGATGGGGATGAGGGCCATAAGGGCTGGGGGGTTGAGGCGGGACTTGAAGACGACGTACTGCAGCAGGGCGGTGGCAACCGGGGTGAAGGACTTGACAGTCTGCATGAAGGAGACTGCGACGAAGCGCAGGCTGATGTTGCCGAGGCAAATGTTGGAGCAGAATACGGCGGCGATGACGAGGAGCTTGGAGTAATAGTCATACGGCTCGACGCGGACTTTGTCGACGAGGTGGAAGTAGTCGATGGTTAGATGGGAAAGGATGCTCTGCGTGGTCATGTGGATTAGCGTGAGGGAGAGAGGGTTGGTGAAGTGGAGCGACTTGTAGATGTACTTGTTGAAGAGGACGGTGGTGCCGTTCGCCATGAACCAGCAGAAGATGAAAAAGGCGACGACATAGGGGGGCTTGGTGCCGGGGGCGGGGGAGGGGGCGGTGTGATTCGGGGGCAACTTGTCGGCGCTGTCGGAGTCTTTGGTGACAGCTTTCATGACGCGGGGATGTGCCAGAAGGTTGAGACGGGGGAGGGAAGGGGAGGGGGGGGGGGGGGGGGGGGGGGGAAGAGGGAGAGTTCGAAGTGAGTTCGGCGTAGTATGCACAGTTGGGGCAAGTAAGGGTCGGCGGTAGAAGGAGAAGCGACTGTGGTTGTCGGTGGCGGGGCGCAGCGCAAGGAAGGGACGGATGATGACGCACGATGTATTGGAGACGGGACGGACGGGTTGGAAATGGGGGTAAAAATGAGGATTTCGGTCGTTTACATGGGCGATGAGAGGCGATTACGTGCAGATTTACCACAGGCTCTGACAGGTACCCTTGGGTACAGTAACCCGCAACCCTTACATAATCGAATTTGTCTCCTGACACTCCGCCGCCGCCAACTGTACGGCACCGTTGGATAGACTGAAAACCTGAGTTTACACGAAATTTCGAGCACCAGGTCTTCTCGAGAGCCACCCCTCAAAAAATTACCTCATTTTATCCGCGCGACAGTACATACTGTGCAGTAAACTGTTTCAAGCGTACAGTACTGCACGCCCCGCGCTTTACAGTCCTCAAAATGACCACGGATTCAGCATACAATTCCCTCGTCTTAACTTCTTGCTGTACCTTCATACAGTACTCCTACTCGTCATCCTCCCCCTCCCTCATCATCGCCGTCATCCCCCCCAGCGTCCGCCGCCTTTCTCTCCTCCGCCTCCGCCTCCGCCTCCGCCTCCGCCTCCGCCCTGACCCTAGCCTCGACGTTCCTCTTATGCCGCGCCTTCTTGGCCCTCTTCACCTCCATTTTCTTCTCTACATTCTTCCCTTGCTCTTCTCTCCTCTTCCTCTTCAGCGCCTCCTTGCTCTCAATCCGCTTCCGATCCTCTTCCACCTCTCCCTCGCTCTTCCGCACAAACTCATGAAACAGCACCGGCCCATCGCACACACCCCCCTGAATCTTCACCAACTTCAACGTCAACCTCGGCCCCAGCTCCACCAACTTAACCGTACTATTCGCCCCCTTCTTCAAATGCTTGACCTGCTGCCCCAGCGTCACTCGCCCAGCCTCCCCAATCCCTTCCACCTCACTATCCGAGCTCAGCACACCAGCCGCACTCCCGTCCATTAGCTGCGCCACATCGGCGAGCCTAGCCAGCTTCGGCACGCGTCGCTTAGTAATCAGCTTTCGTACGGGCTTCGACAACCCAGCCGCGTGCACCTTGAGCGCGTAGTGCCTGATCCTTATCTCGCCGCTCTCCTCGTCACGATCCACGAGCAGCACGCGCCTCAGCGCCGCCAGCTTCGTCTCTCCCACATGCAGCGCCGGGAACGAATGCCGCAGCGTCTCCGCCACCAGCTGCCTCTCCTTGCCGCCGCCGCCGAACCGGTTCATCACCAGCACGGGCGCCTCGTCCATGTCGCGCGCCTGCGCCACGTGCGGCCGCCTCTGCATCGCCCGCACGTGCGCGCACAGCGAGTAGTTCACGATCCGGAACGTCAGCGTCGGGCCCTGCGGCACGGTCGCGATCCGTAGGTACGGCGCACGCGCGGTCGCGGAGAGCAGCCACAGGTGCGACACCCCAAGCTGCGACGCCACGGAGAGGTAGTCCCGGATGTTGTTCGACTTGCGCTCGCGGAGGTTCACCGCCGTGTGCGGCATCAGCGCCTGCCGTAGGTCCGGAACGAGGTCCCGGATACCCGTTGGCACCGCGCCGCGCCGCAGCACGAAGGACCGCGGCACGGACGAAGGCGTGCCGGCTGACTGGCCAGCCGAGGTCGGTTTCAAGTGCGTGCGCCGCTTGCGGCGCGTGCCGCCGGCTTTGCGCGGCATTGGGGATTCAGGAACAGGTGGGGACGTGCGTTGGGGAGATGGGATGACTGACGGTCGGCGACGAGGGCGGGTCGAGTGGTTTTACGCCACCGCCGCGGCAGGGGAGCAAAGTGAAAGAGCGCTTACAGCTCTTCTTACAGCATGTCACTGTAAGAAGAACTGTCAGCAATAATGAGTCGCCCCTAATTTTCGTTAGTTGGCCCCAAGCGAAAGCACGGCTATGCCATGCCTCCGCTACGCACGCGCCTGCCGTTACGCCAGGCCTTCCCCGACCGGCCCCCGTCTGCGAACCACCGCCGTTCCACATCCGCTCCCTACTAATCCCCTAATCCCCCGGCAACATTGCATCTGTCCGTCGCGGCGTGCGCCCCATCGCCACCGCCATCGCACCATGTCGCACATGAGTACATGCACGCCGTGGCTCAAGCCGTACCTGATGCACGCGCTGTCGCCGACGCCGCGGTCTTCGTCGCTGGACGGCTCGTATCTGCAGGTAATCTCCGCGGTGACGGCCCGGCGCAAGTTGCGCGTGTACGACGGGCTGCACACGGCCGAGGCGGTGCTGTCGCAGGCGGCGGCGTCGAATCTAGACGCGGACGTGGACGACCTGGGCGTGACTACGCACAATCTGGTGGGGTATCTCGTGGCACCCGTGGCCGCGGTCGTCGTGCCGGACGCCTCGACCACGCCGCCGACGGCCACGCTCGTGCTGCAGGACGTGCGCGTGTTTGCCGACCAGTTTGCGCAGCGCCCGCCCGGCGCGCTGCCCCCCGTCGACAGGGACCCCGAAGTCCTGGACTGCCTGAGGGCCAGCGTGGGGAGGAAGCTGGCCACGTTTGCTACGCGCTCCACGTTCGCGAGGGACGAGGTCGATGCAGGGGACGCCCACCTCGCGGAGCTTACGGACGTCTTCGACAATATTTTGGACAACCCCGCACTCCCGCCGAAGGCCGTCGTCGACAACCTGGCCAATTTTCGTAGCCTACACTCCGACGCGCCTTTGCCGCACAGCCCGGCCGCTGCAGACAAGCCTGCGCCGTCGAATGATGCCAATCCGAGCCCCGGGAAGAAAGATCTACAAACTACGACAAATGCGGAGCGCGACGTCTTTGACGAGTCGGAAGACGAAATGCCCGAGTTGGACATGCATCATGTGCTTGGCGTTCAGAACGGCGATGACGAGGACAAAGGGGACCCCAAGGGCAACGAGGGCGCATCGCAGAATGATCAAGACATGAGTGAAAAGAAAAGCAGTGGTGCTGGCGCTGCCGCGGCGGAGGAGAGAGCTGGCGAAGAAGAAGATGTAGGCGATTGGGATATTCGCTTTTCAAGTCAGGAGCAGGCGGACGTGGAGGGTGGAGAGCATGAATGTATCTCGGGCGAAGCGATGCCACTAACGCAGCACTTCCCCATTGATGATGACGAGGAAGAGGATGCGGAGGGGAAGGCTGACGCAGAGGCGGACGACGCTTGCGTACCCGAGAGGCAGCCAGCGTCAAGGGGAGGAAAAGCCGCCGGGAAGAACATTGGAAACGGCTCTGCCGGGCATGGTATTCGGCATGCGGTGGACAAGGACCGAAATAATAACAGAAAATTACATTTTCAGAAGAAGGGCGCCACACTTGATCCGCACATGCCCGCTGCACCCCCTGATCTGCATGTAACGGCTAGTGGTAGCACCGCACCTCACCCCAACGCAAGAGTCGTCGACTGCCCGAAGAGAGGCATGGACGAAGCGAACAACAACCCGAATGAGGACATGGGGAATGTCGAAGCTAAGCTTGGTGCCCATTCCCTCCTGCCCACGCTAGATGCCGCCCCGCCCGCGCCGCACGCCTCCAACCCGCTAAAGGGAAACGCAGAGGAAGACCCACAGGCTGCAAAACCCTCCGCCGAAGCCCAGCCATCCCGCGTGTCGGATGACCCCTCCGCATCCGAAGGCGCGGAGCCAACGGCGGAGAAGGCCCTGGTAGACCCCGAGGACCCCAACCGGAAGGGCGTTGAGGCTGACACCGCCGACCCAGCCGCTGACCCCGACGAAGCGAAAGATAAGAAAGACGGAAAGGCCCCGCCTGGAAAGGCAGACGACGGAGAAAAGTCAGGCGACGCCAAGCAAAACGGAAAGTCCGTCGCCCCGGATGCCGATGCAAGAAACCCTGATCTTAACCAGTTCCCCTCCACCGCAAATGATTCCATGGATGTCGAGTTGCCTACTGCCCTAGAAGACACCGCGGAGGACACAAAGGGGCAAACGAAAGAAGTTACGGAGGGCGCAGGCACACCTGTCAAGGTACCACCAGAGACGAAGGAGCCGGTCGAAGAAAAGGAAATCACCAGCAAAGTACCCGAAACAGATGACAATGCCGTCGGGGCCGAACCGGATACAGGCAAAAAGACCGATGCCATAGCCGACCGCACCGGGGCGGAGAAGAAGGGCGCAACCGTGACGGTCGCCGTCGCGGCCGTCGCCACGATCACCGCCGTCACCACGATCACCGACGACGTGGCACCCGAGGACAAGCAGGGCACCAAGCGGAAGGCGAGCTCGGCAGTAGAAAACGACGACAACCACCGCAAGCAGATACGCAGCAACGCCGAACATCCCATCACGACAGAAACTGCACTTAAGAAGCTCCGCGCCGAGGCAGAGCTCCTGCGCAATTTTCGCGCCAAGGTCGACGACAACCCCACAGGCTTCGTGCTCAACCCGGACGCATTTCTCCCGCGACTGCCGGGGTTGGGTGGTGCCAAAAAAGACATTCCTGACGCCAAGGAAGTTGGGTCGTTTCCGCCGCCAGACGTGAGCAATTTCACAATGGACGGACGGAAACCGGACTCTCAGGAGATGGCGGTGCCACAAGTTCCTGAGAGCGCCCCAATGTGATCATGACGACGATGATTGCGACCAGATGAAGACTATGTAAAGGGAAACAGAAAAGTGTAAAGAAAATTTAAAGACGTCTTTGTCACATTCTCTGGCCTACTTGACTCGTTTAAGGAGATAAATACTGAACGCTAAAACTAAAAGCTCACACCGATGCGACGCGTGCTACCGGTCGTCAGTCTCAAGGACGACAGCCGGAGCGCCCATGGGCACCGGCAAGAACGGGAACGGGGCCATAATCTCCCAGGGGTGATGAAGCCTAACTTCTCCTCTCACCGCCATCGCCCTTGCCCGCTCCAGCTCCCGCTGCAATTGCAACTCGCGTTGCATCTGCAGCTGCTGTCGATTCTCATCATACGGCACGTGATGCGCCAGCATCAAAGCCAGCGTTAGCGGGAGGTGAAAAATACTGGCCCTGAACAGCGGTCTTGCCGCCGCAACAGCAGTAGGGTTGGCGGCCATTTTGACGGACCCCCTGTACATCCAAAAGCCGAGCGCCGCAGCCTCCCACGTGAAGGCCTCGCTAGTAACGCCGGTCGCCGCAAACGCGATACCCAACGGCATCATGGCGGCCGCTGTGATCTTCGCCCACGTGGCGTTGCGCACCGGATCCGTGACTGCAAGCATTTTGAGTCCCCCGCGTGCGTAATCGGCGCGCGACACGACGGCCAGGGCGTGAAAATGAGGAATCTGCCACAGAAACAATAAGGCGCCCAGGGCCCACGCGCCGCGCTCTCGCTCACCGGTCAAGCAGCCGTCGCTGGCCGCAGCCCAGCCCAGCATGGGCGGGAGAGCGCCCACGACGGCTCCGACCCATGTATTGATGGTGGAAACCGGCTTCAGCGGGGTGTACACGGCGGCGTACAAGGCGATGTTTGCGGCGGCGATGGCGGCGGCCGTACCGTTCGTCTCCACGGCGAGAAGCGCAAGGCCGGCGGCGCCCGTGACAGCGGCGAACAAGGCCGCGGCTGGCGGCCGGATGCGGGCGGCCGGAAGCGGACGCAGGCGCGTACGGGCCATAAGCGCGTCGGAGCTGATCTCATACAGCTGGTTGAGCGTGTTCGCGGAGGCGGCCGTGAGCCATGTGCCGACCGTGACGGCCAGGATCGGGCGCGGGCGCAGCGACGGATGGTCGTCGCGAAGCGCGTAGCCCGTGCCCGCCGTGAGCGCGACCAACCCGGAGAGACGGTACTTGGAGAGTTTGAGCAGATCGCGCGTCCGCGTGGTTATCGCGGAAAGCGTCGGGCGCGACAAGAGGAAGGGGGCCGACATAACGAT